CATCCATCCATCCATCCATCCATCCATCCATCCATCCAAAAACACAACTATCAAGGATTTCTAGGAGCTGTTGGACCCTCCTTTAATAATGAAACAGTGACATCATCATCTAGGTGAGCTCGGGTTGCTAAACAGGACCTTTATTCATGTGAACTTTTATCTGCAAACAAAGGGAAGCAAACTAACTACTACAGTGTTTAACAATATAATTAGGTTTGGTCCTGGAACCTGACGATGCAGCAGGAACTGAGTCGTCCTCAAAAACAGGTCCGACCAAACCTGGAACCTCCTACATTCAAATCGGTTCTTCTTCCAGACCTTTGAGAAAGTTCTGAAACGCTCACCTGGAACCTGCAGCACCTCCATCCTGTCCAGCAGAGCAGGAGGGATGGTTGCCGTGGTGTTGGCGGTGGCGATGAAAAGCACCTGGGAGAGGTCGAAGGCCACATTCAGATAATGATCTGTGAAGCTGTGGTTCTGCTCTGGGTCCAGGACCTGAAGTAGGAGAGAAAGAGGAGGTCTGGTGAGTCATTAAGGTCAGAACCTCCAGGGACGGGACGCAATGAAGGAGTCTGACCTCCAGCAGAGCGGCAGCTGGATCCCCCTGCAGACTTTTCCCCAGCTTGTCCACCTCATCCAGGAGGAAGACCGGATTATTGACGCCGACTGTCTTCAGACCGTTGATGATCCGGCCGGGCATGCTGCCCACATAGGTTCTCCTGGAAACAGAACCCACACCTTTAAAATCACCCGCTGCCGAACCTTCAACAACAACATAAACCAAGAACACCTTTCCTGATGGGGACATCCCACCTTCTGTCGTGAACTTTGACCTGTTGGAGATGAGGTACCGTGTCACTTTCTGACCCGTTATCACTTTCTGACGTGTTATCAGGAAGTTCGTCCAGGTCTAGGCTAAAGTTAGGACTTTGACTAGGCCGCTGCTCGTGTCCAGCTGCTGTGTTTGGGAGTGTGATGCAGCACGTACAGCCACACCATGAATGCTCTGGTAATTCTTTTCATTTAAACACATCACTTTATAACGGTTTGCCAAATTGATTGATTCTTTTGTCCATCCACATTCCCGCAGACTGCCACTCTGTGTCCCTGAGCAAGACCCTTAACTCCAGACCGCTTTCTGGGCGTCGCACAGTGGCAGCCCACTGCTCCCCAAAGGGATGGGTTAAATGCAGAGAGTGAATGTCCCCATTGTAGGAAGAGATTTACATTTACATGTGGGACATGTGTTAACTATTTGGGTGCAGAAATCAGGTTCACAAGTTTTGCCACTTCTTGCTTGTTTGGTTTACTTTAAATGAAAAAAAACTTTTCCGGTTCCTGGGAGGCTGACATGTGGGCGTGGCCTGTGTTCTGTCAGAACAGCATACTGGAAAAGAATCGGAATCTAGATAAGTCCCTTTTTCTTAACATAAGTGCATTTGTTCTTGAATTGAGGAGATAAAAGAGACATTTTGCCAATGGAACAAGACTATTTAGATTTAAAATAAGAAAACACAATTACATTGTCTTATTTCAACTGCATATTATCGAATTATCTTATTTTAAAAGTAAAAATACTCACTCTATTGGCAAACTATCTCATTTACCTGCTCAAATTAAGGGTAAATACACTTAATTTAATAAATTTTCCCAGTGCGCATGCTGTCAGATCAGCATACATAGTTCTAATAGGCATGCGCAAAATAGTTATTGCCACATTTAATTTTAGCAGCAGTGTACCAACCAGCAGAAAATCCGTTTATTTTAACTTAAAAAAAGAAAATCAGCTTTAATTATTATACTGTTATTTCTTAGTTGCAGTAACGGCCAGACATGATTGAAGTTTCCAGGATGTTGAGAGAAGAAGCCTCTAGAGGGGGGGTCTTCAACGTTTTCCAGGCCAAGGACCCCCAAACTGATGTATAGATGGAGCGGGGACCCCCTAATTATATATATTGGATTCAATTGTGTTATATCAAACTGGTCCTATATGTAACGAAAGTAATTTCTCCGTGGGTTTATTAAAGTATTTCTGATTCTGATTCCTGGTTGGGTCAGGTGTTGTGAATGAATCAGTTCCCAGCTTGAAAGAGCTCCTGCACTGCAAAAACATTCTACAAATGAGTAAAAATGTATTAAAATAATTGTATTCACCCTTAATTTAAGCCGGAAAATAAAATGATCTGCAAATGGAATGAGCATTTTTACCCTTGAACTAAGAAAATTAGATATTATGCCCTTGAAATAAGAGACTTCTGTTGTTTTTTCTTATTTTAAATGTTAATGGTCTTATTACATTGGCAAAGTGTCTGCTCAATTTAAGAAGGAATCCACTTATTTTAAGAAATAATTACTAAATTAGATTAGCAGTTTTTGCAGTGTGTGTGTCTCTGAATGTGTGCATAAATGACTGAAAGACATCTTCTGCCTCCATTTATCTGTTTACTACAGTGTGTTGAATTCATGTTAATGTGGATTTAAAAACATTTCAATGAGTGGAAAAAATTGCAGGGGGAAATAAAAAAAAAAGTCTAATCAACCAAAACCTTTGCGACCCCCATGCAGAACCTCTGTGGACCCCCTAGGGGTCGCGGACCCCCTGTTGAAGACCTCTGCTCTAGAGCTAAAGCCATTTTAGTCAATATTAATTAAAAATAAGTTACTGTA